AATTCGAAATTTTGCTTATCTATAGTTTTGCATATATTTTTGTATTAGGGATATATCTTACTTGTATTGTCACACCAAACAGTTTCCTATAACTTTAGGAACTTTAGACATAATATTAATTATTGGGATATTTCCAATATCTCACTTTTATTATCACAACAAACAGTTTCATATACTTTACTTGTATTGTCACAACAAACAGTTTCATTTATTTTACTTGTATTGTCATACCAAACAGTTTCCTATATTTTACTTGTATTGTCACACCAAACAGTTTTAAATAATCAAATATATAAATATACTTGGATAATTATATAATTAATTTCATTATTGAATCATAATATCTTTATAATACTATTATAAATTTATAATATATAACATAGTATTTCAAATAATCAATAATCATGATATAGTTTGAGAAAAAAATAACAAAATAATTAAATCAACTTTAAAAGATTAGCATGTTTTTGATAATCCAAAATAACAATCCAAAACAATAAACCCCAATATTAGAAGCTTCGCATGTTTGAAAACAATTCAAAATAATAAACTAATCTTAAGCTATTTTCTCAGTTTTGATTTATTTCCTTGTAATCATATTATGACTATTCGCGGAGTCGCCACTCTTTCGGGAAGTTCTTCTCTTCGACGGAGATGAAGCCGATTCAAATGAAGAACTCTCGTCATTTCCATCTGTTATTTCAAGAACTCGAGGGTTGACATCGGCATTTGCATAGCTCTCTTATAAATGTAAGAATCATGAATATATTTCAGAATAAATTTCTCGTTATCACACAATGGCTAATATTAATATTCGTAACATTGTACCTTTACAAATTGTACAACCATATCTTCTTTTTCCCAAAACTTTTCAACAACATATGCCGCTTTTGAACTCTTCAAATTGTCATTTGTGATCAAAACCTTAAACAAAATAGTTTTTCCAATAAACGAAGAAATAGCATTGGGAATAATTGAAGGATCATCCTGAAGCATATGAATCTATTGGTTAAATACCGTTTATTAAAATTATAATGAATATGAATGTTAAATTTTTTTACCTCAGCTATCGTTGCAACCAATTCATCAGCCTTCTTTCCAATGAGAAGTTGAGCCAAACCGTCAAAGAAAAGTAGCCTAATATGTGGCGAACTTCCATATGAGACATGTAAGACCAACTTAAACCTAATGTTATAAAAAAACAAAAAA